TATATTTCCATTAACAACACGTTTGAATATGAATACAATAATAATGTGTTTCGAGTGAATTCTAAAATAACAAACACAAAGAAACAAATTATCAAACACTTGGTGTGCAATTGATGTTGATCATATTTTTCTTATTGTTTTGTTGATTTCAAAAATCAATTATAATCTTATAGATTGTAATCAACTCAACAAAACAATTTTGAATTTACAAAATGTTTATTTAAACGTGTCAATTACATAATCAATGTATTCAATAATTTGTAATTGAAAGTAAATGAGAGAGAAAGAGATAGATAACACGAGGATTTGTTTAGGCAGTTCACATTATCCTCGATATGGCTACGTCTGCCCCCAATTTTGTTTTGAATTAAGATAATCAATCTTACTTTGCAAAAAATATTTACAAGAGAAAAGTAGAAATCCAACCCTACAAACTCTAGGTTTGATGTTGATCTTAACTTTTTCTCTTCCCTTGATTTTGAGCTCGATTAAGTCACCTAAAAATGCTAATTTGATCCACGGTCTCACTATACTCCTTTGCAAGAAACCGCGTTCTTCAAAGCTTTCACTCGGCCGAATCCAAATTGTGAATTATTGTCACCTAAGATTTTCAATTGATCCTCCGGTTACCATTACTCCTTCGACCGAACCCACTATTCTTTGAAGTTTTCACTCAGATGAATCCGAATTGCAAAATCTTGTACAAAACCCAAAAATCAACACTTTGATATTGATGGACAAACCCTATGGTTTTTCCAATGAAACCCCCAAAGTTTCTCAACCCAATTTACCGGTACACAAACCTAAATTGGATGTTATCAACTATGAATCTAGATGGAACCCAAATAAATAATAATTACGTGTAATTTATTTGTGTCTATGCATATATGTGAGAGGTTGAATATGAGGAGCAATACTTTGTATGTTTATGGTTTCATCAAGTTTCAAATTATGCATGTATGAGGTATATATGTGTGCAAGTTGGAGGCAAAAAGAGAAATTAGAAGTTTAGAAAAGAATGCAAATTTTCAAAAATTTCACTTCATGTGTCGACACATGTAAGTCATGGGTCGACTCATATTGACACATGTGTAGACCTATACAAGGTCATGCGTAGACTCATGAGAGATAGAAGCTATAAGCTTTAAAATTGAGCAGCAGGTGTCGGATCATTCGTTGTATGTGTCGACTCATAGAAGAAAATTTTCTTCTATGTGTCGACCTAAAAACCCTTATATGTCGACACATACAATTAGAGCCTATAGAAATTAAAAATTATCCACATGTGTCGACTTATAGCATGTATGTGTTGACACATAAACCTATTTTTTTACATAAAACATGATTTTAATGCTTAAAATTTTTCCTAAACACATTCTAAGATCCCTAATACTAAGATGCATATTAAGGCTCAGAGAATATCGTCCAATATACAGAAAAGCTAAAGTTATCCTAGTTTTGACATCATGCAAAATATATTTAGTGGAAAAGTAAACTCACAACTTGCAGAAAGAGGAAAGTGTGGCTGGTATAGAAGATGAGTATCAACAGATCAATGAAACATGAGTTATTATTCCTAAAGGTGGCTCGTAAGTTTTTTTTATTCATATTTTAATACTTATTCAATTTATTAAATTTAACATTTATTTAAATTTGATACTTATTCAAATCATTATTGTTTAGTTTCATGTCGAGTAGGTCTATCGCATGAAGCATAAAGAATGTTACTTAAGAATTAAATAAAAAATCTTTAATGACATTTGGAAAACTTGTGAAAAAGGATAAGAATGTGTGCAAGGCTTGGTTTAACATTTTTTTTGGATATAATGCTTTAATTTTAAGTAATTGTAGTTTAAATTATTGATGTAATATTTATTTCAACATTGCAAGAGAAATGTAATTGGGACATAAGAGATGAAGTTAAGATTGAGTGTAATTTTCGTATTAGAGTATAAGTCTGAATTTCGATCATGCTAAGGCATTGCTAGATTTAGTTAAGAATAAAAAAGTATCACCCTCTATGAATATACAATTATGTATTTTAGTAACTACTTTTCTATTGGAATTCATATGCGTTTAAAGAAAAATCTGAAGAAAAAAAATAATAAAAAAATAGAGCATATGAAGATAGGGCATGCAATCATGCAATAGGAAATATTAGTATCGCCCAACATGCTCATCGAATTTTAATTATAAACACTCATTTTTCTAAAATATATTTTTATTTATTTTATATTTTTAATTAAAGTTATTTGTATTAATTAGATGGGAGAATCCCACTAATTAATGAGCTTCATCAGAGAACTCATATCCAAAAATCCAGAGAGTATGTCAGCGAGCGTTCTAAAAAAACTCATATAAATTGTTATTTATATATATTTAATTCTTTTATATAACTAAAATGTTTAAACTCAAATAAACTTTATTTTATATAATTTTTATATATATGTGTAGGAGGATTATCATAGACAACTCCCTCAATTCTTATCTGAACATCTTGAAGTAGCTGTTTCGAGGGACCCACATTCTTTTGATCCAGCTATGTCACTTCATACTTGGAGTGATGTAATTGACATGAAGAAATATGGGAAATTTTATAGCGATAACCTTTGTCCTCCAACCACAGAAAATGGTGTAGAAGTTTATTTAAGAGAATTGCATATGGGGAAGGATCGTCACGTCCACCAATATTAATCCTTGAAATTGCAAAAATAATGAGACAATTAACACTAAATAAGGTAATAAGTGAAGCAACGTAGAAGACCTAAATGGAAGAAATGAGGAAGAGGTAAATTAAGTTAGAGGAAACCTGAAGAGTTTCACAAGAGCATATGCAAGAATATATGTTCTCACGAAGGAACCAAACTCATGGTTCAATGGGTGAAGATCAATATTTTTGGAGATATGGGAGACTTGACAGAATTAGAGCAGTTGGTGGACAAGAAGCAGTAAGCGAGGATGAAGAAGATGAAAGCGATAAAGATAACATGGAAGACCGATATTCTCATAATTGTAGAATATTTTTATTATTATTTGAATTTTTATTTTTAAATATTATTTTGAATTTTATTAACTATTTTTTAATTTAATTTTTATAAAATTGTAATACTTATAATTATTTTTACAAAATTTTATTATATACCTACAATTTATTTATTATATTTATATTATTATAAATATTAAAAAAATATTTATAATAATATAAATATTATAAATTATTTTTTATTAACAATGTGAGATCTGCGAGGTATAAAATCCCACACAACGTATGACACGTAGCTGACACGTAGCTGACACGTAGCTGACACGCATCTAACAGATAGTCCTGCACAATATGCCGCGGGGTGTTTTTCACTTGGAAAAATTATGCGTTGTGATAAGTTTCTCCCTACAAAAAACATGTCAAATCTCTGCACCCTATCTAGCGCGTAGGTGACGCGTTGTATGTACCCTATAGAACGTTACGAGCAATTTTTCACCTGAAAAAAAGTTTCGACAAGTGTTTTTGCGAGGTATTTCTACACCTCAAAAAATTAAGCATCGCAAGAAGTTTTCTTGCTTTGTGAGGAATAATTCTCCTAGCAAAGCTGCATTTTTATTTGTATTTAATGTTGAGTTTGATGGGGTCTCTTGTATCTTGTGTCTCTCATTTGTTTGTTACTTGTGATTGAACTTCTACTATTTGATCTTTGATCTTTATGTGGCGCGTTATCGACACTCTATAAAATGTTGGGAGAAGTTTTTCAGCTGGCTACATTGCGAGGAGTTTTTCACCTCTAAAAAAGTTGCGACATGCATTTTTGTGTGGTGTTGCTACTCATAAAGTTAGGCGTTGTGAGGAGATTTCTTGCTTTATTAGGAATAATTCTCTTGGCAAAGCTAGTTTTTTTTGTAGTGATTGTTAATCTTAATGGGGTCTCCTGTATCTTGTGTCACGATTTGTTAGAATCTAGATCTCATATTTTTGTAACTTGTGATTTAACTTCTATTATTTTGTGTTTGATATTTAAGTGGCTTGGGCGATAGATGATTCTCCTAGGAGATCCTATAATTCTTTTATGAGTTTTTCATATCGTTGGGAGATATGGCTAAAATGAGAGTAGCTTTTACTTCGGTTTGACATGTTGTAGTATGGTCTATCTGGTTAGGGCGTATTAATAAACTTTTTTTGTTATCCAACCAACATGAAAGAGGAGAAGGAAAAAAGTAGTTTTTTTTGTTTGAAATTGGTTTTGGGGAAGATTAGCGGCGAACACTTATTCTCTTTCTGATTGCATTCAAAATCTTATCATGTATCTCAATCAATGATGAATCACGAGTCTAGACCTACTTTAAAGGTTGTTAGTTGACTTTGATTTTTCTTTTGAGATCTCTTATATGTTGATGGTATATGTTGATGGTGGTATGAGGTTTAACCTAATTCTGTGTTGGGTGAAATTGATGTGGTTGTTTCATCAGGAGTAGTTTCCTCCTTTTTGTTTTTTATTGTTTGGTTTAAGCTTCTTAGTTTGTTCTTTTGGTCATGTTTGTTTTTTTATTTATTGCATTTCTTGTGCCAGTTTGACAGTATTCTCTTATTTTTTATGGGTTTTGATTCCCTGCTTTAACTATTTATATTGTTTTACATTAACAAATCCAATTATATTATTATCAATTTATTATTTCTTCTTTGAGTTTCTATAAAAACACATGTACGCATCAAAATTTAACGAATAGTTATGTTCATATTCATTAGGCGATTATAATTCAAAAAATTTCCTTGTGATTTCTTTAAATCTTCAATTTTTCCAAAGCTTTTTATAATAACAACAAATGTATTATAAACTTTAAATCATACAAAAAAAACCTAAATTTTGTCTTTGCGATGCCATGTACAAATCAAACATTTACAATTTCTCTCCACCACCAAACTTCATTTGAAATAATAACAATCTAAAATTATCTTATTACACAAATTTCAAACCATTACAATATGGATACAAAATATATACATATCAACCTCAACATAGTCCAGATAAATTGTCCCAAGTGTAGCAACCATTGTTTTCATTATTATTATCATTGTTTGTAGTATTTGTAAGAGGAAACAATGAAGCTATAGGCTTAATATCGAGTCCAAAATCTTCATCTGCCAACACACCACTAGAAGATTGAACATTGCTCACTTCTAATGCATTATTATTATTATTATTATCATTATTATTATCATTATTACTATTATTATTATTATTGTTATTCCAATCTTGAATTTGTAATGTTGATGAAGGCATCACTGTTAGCATTGTTGACAATTCATCATCCATAAATTTGCTTAGATCTGGTGCTTCTTCCTTTGGTTTTTGTCCTACATATAAATCAATCAAATTCAATAAGTCATAAAATTAATAATTTATCAATTTAAAAAATAAATCATCTATGAAAAAACACTAAACCATAAACATAAAATATAACATTATTATTAACCTGAATTAGAAGGCCAATAAATAGAGCTTAGTGTAAAATCATCAATGCTTTGACATCCATTAAACATATCATTTCCTTCATTTAAGCTTAAGTAATTTCTCTTCTTTGAATTTTGACCAGATGCTAGGGTTTGTGCTTCCATTAAAATATCTCCCATTAAGATACTATTATTTGGATCATTGAAATCAATATTAGCCTTAACATCTTGTTCTGAGTGTGTTCTTAAATATTGGTTTGAAGGTAGCTCCAACTTCGTTAAGAAAGGCGAAGACGAAGAAGAAGAAACTCCTAGATCGGATTCTATCAAAGGAGTATGAAAATATTGAGAAAAACTCGAGTTGTACTGCATTGGAAACCGGAAGCTGTCATGATGATTATGATGATGATGATGATGATTTGAAGTTAAAGAAGGATCGTTGAGTGAAGAAGAGCAATTTTGTGTCATGGAATTCGGGATTAGTCCGAAATTTGGCGTAGAACGATAGCGTTTGAAGCGAAGCGGCGTAGATAAGAGTGGTGCAGGTCTTTGAAAAGTGAAGGAAAGTGGCGAAAGTGAAGGCAAAGAAGATGATGAAGTGTCCAAGAATGTGTGAGGAGAATAAGAATGTTGTTGATGTTGTTGTTGTCTATGTTGGAGTGGTGAAGAGAGAGGAGAATGATGATGAGTTGTTGTTGGAGACAAAGGATGAAGATGTTGTTGTTGTTGAAGATGATGTTGTTGTTGATGATATTGGTTGAAAAACTCGAATTTCGGGGTGAGGTTGTTATTAAGGTTTGATCCTGTTGGTGTAACACACGGTGAAGGTGTTGGTGGTGTGTTCGGACGATCATGTTCGTCCGAATATAGAGGAAGACCTTGTCGTTGACGACGTTTGATTCTTGTGTTCCAATAATTCTTGATCTCATTGTCTGTTCGTCCTGGTAACTACAACATTTCAAAGAACACAAATATGAAAAAAAAAATCGAAATTCATAAATAGTTTTTCTTCAATTAAAAAAGAGAAAAATAAATAAATTTTAGGGTTTAATTTACCAATGCAGCCATTCGAGCCCATTTGTTACCAAACTGAGCATGAAGTTCAACAATGAGTTTCTCTTCATCATGAGAAAATGCACCTTTTTTCAAATTAGGTCTTAAATGATTAGCCCATCTAAGCCTACAACTTTTCCCACAACGATTTAAACCTGTATTTCTTTGAACTGCATTCCAATTCCCTTCACCATGTTTTGTTACATAATCTATCAAAATTGCATCCTCTCCCGTTGTCCAAGGACCTTTCTTCAAACTCACGTCATCATTACCACCACCACCGCCACCACCTCCACCACCGCCACTTTCCATCATCCCAAACAACACATTTTCATCATTCACTCCATCTCCGATACTTGTCATGTGTTCCATATTTTCAGTATAAATTAGATATTTTGGTGCAACTGCAGATATTAATCTCTTGAGTCAGAGAGGACCACAATAACGGAAAAACTCTTCCTCAAGAGATTTAACACACAACCTTAATATAATTTCTCCTCCCTCTTGTTATTATTATACTATGTTATAATAAATTACAAGAAGTTTTTATTCTTCTATGTATTTTATTATTCTCTATTTTCTTCGTACTACTTCCAAGCTTCTCCATATAAAATATTGATATAGTAAAAAAAACTATATATTAAAAGAAACTATGCATATGCATGCATGTGTAACAATTCTTCGGTAGAAAGAAAAGGAGAGAAGTTATTATTATGGCGGCGGCGGTAGAAGGTGGTTAAAAAATGAAAGATAAAGGGTGGTGGGATAGTAAGTTAGGGAGGTGGCTATAGAAACTAATAAAGTTGTAATGGAAAAAACTGAATTATTATGCAATATGAAAAAAGTTGGTAAAAATAAGCGATTGTTAAGATTTGGATTCCGAGTAGTACTCATAGCCAATGGTGGTAAAATTTACACGCGTTTTTTCAACATAGTAGCTGTTGCATGCTCATAACAACTCAGTTTTTGTGTTCACTATTTTTTGCTACTATTATTTATTTAGAATGAAAAAGAGAACAGAGTGTGCAAGAATTGTCTTGTGGATGAGATGAAAATAGAAAAATGTGTTTTATTTTTGAGAGATGTGAAGGAATAATGTGGTGTGATACTAGCTGGTTTCTTTGAGTTGTGTCACAAAATTGTGTTGGAAAAATGGAATGGTAAATCTATATATAAGAATCTAAAGTAAGATATATGAAATAATAGGGTGATTAAATATTGAATGTCATGGAATCTTTTATTTTGCTCTATCATAAGAAATTAGAAAGTTGATGTGGCATAATGGAAAATGCTTCATTTTTAAGGTGGCAATTTTTTATTAGGTCGCATATTTAGTAGGCTGACTGGTCAACGATTTGATTGGTACATAGGAGACTTTAGTTTGGAAACATGACCTATTAGAGTTTTATGATATTATAAATATGGTTATGTATCACTTTTTTATTAGTAACATAAGAAAATTGAAGAAAAATAGGTAACTACAATGAGAGGAACTTAGAGAAATAATGGTAAAAAATTTGAAGATTGTAATATTTGAATTTGACAGATCTTTGGAATTAATTTTTGGAATTTTGCAAATGTTTGAAAGTATTTAAAGGGATACGAAAACTCTTTTAAACACCTTTGGTTGGGTGATTAAATGTATTGAGTTGAAGAAATTTGAAATATTTGAGTAAATAATAGGATTTGTTCTTAATAATTTTGATGATTATTTTCTTTTAACTCATTTGGAATTATTTATACTTCTTTCGTCCCACAATGAGTGATTCAATTGACCATTTCTCACATATTAAGTCAAGTGTATAAAAGTAAGAGAGAGAATAATATTTTTACTATAGTGTTAGTTGGAATTTCGACGCTAATAGGAACTTGATGTATCAAAGATAGATTCAAGGGATGGTTAAAGAAATTAAGATGAATTTCTAATATTTTCGACTAGCAAGCCTTTGAAAGACTTCGATGGGTACTAGCTGAAGGAGTTTCAGTTTTTCAATATGATACAGTTTTGAGACTTAACATATTTTTGAAGAAGTTTGACGGCTATTTCGACAGGGTGATTTGAAACAAGGCCAATTAATTGTCTTTTGGTCTTATCTATTCTTGAAGGACGCATGGAAGTTTATGAAGGGCGAAGTGCATGCAAGTGTGAACGTGTTATTCCCTGGAGAAAAGACCGTTCGTTACAATTATTTTGATTCTAGTATAAATAGGAGTCTTAGAATTAGAATTTAGTGTGTTGACATTACTACAAAATACTCAAAGTATCTGAACGAAGTGAGAAACGAGTGAACGAATTCTATGTACGTATTCAAACGTCACTTTTATTTGTGCAAAGTCTTTTTCATTAAGTTTATGTTTAGTGTTTATTTCTTGTTGAAATCTTTTATTTTTTCCAGCATTTACTTTCAATCTTGCATTTACTTTAAAGATTTCGACCCAGTAGAAATTATTGTCCTTTCCATAGAAAATCACATAACAATTCAACAAACTTTTTGCACATATGTCCTAGGATCAATCTAGTCGATCTTGCAAGTAACCTTTTTGGAAGACTAGCGTTTGTTTACCAAATTTCACGGTAAATAAATTGGCTACCTGGTGGGACTAAGTACTAAAAGTTTACACTTTCTTTATAAATTTGCATGTTCTTCATCAATAAAACTTCTCAAATTTATGAGTGTGCATAAGATTGAGGAGCGGTAGGATAACCAGAGATTACGTTAGAAGACCAGTTAGGAGAAAAATTACAAGAATGGTTAACCCTGGGAACAACAATTCAAATGGAGAACAACCCTCTAACACAATAGGAGAAGGCATAGTCGCTGCAAATTCAATTGATGCGATTGGATCTACGAAAAGAACTACTACCATGTCGTCTGTCGTAACCGGCATAAAACTTGAGAGTCGCCACCATTAATTTTTGCCCTAGGGAGGGGGAAATAACGGGTAATCCTAATTCGTACAGAGATTCCAAATTCGTAAGTCAATTAAACGAAGGGAAGGTGTTAGACACTCTTCATCTCTCTTGTTCTCAAGGGGCTCCACTTTTAGGTTTAAGGGTAAGATGGGAATGTAACAGTTAATGTTTTTATATGTTTAAGAAAAGAATTTTAGTTTTTTAGTTATGAACTCGCATTAGATTTAATCGCGTGCCTACGTATCTCCTTGTGAAGAATCAAAGTTCAATTCCGTAGTTCGTATGTGTTTGGTTAGTTTTTTTTATGGATTGTGGAAATATTTTAGAATTATCCTTGAACCTTGTCTGGGTTTGAAAAATAGCATAGTCGTAGACAAAGTTTGCAATTAATATAGATAATATATCCACAATCCATTTTGAAAATAAAGTTGAACTTGAAATTAATTTAGTAAAAAGTTATTAAGTTTGATTGGTTAGCTGTCTTAGAATGCATGACGCAATTTGAAAAATGAGGTATGAATGATAAAATATATTTGATGAATTAATAGAAAATAGGGTTAGTATTTTAAAAAAGGTTAGTAAACAATTATATAAATATACTAAGTATTTTTAATAAAAATTCAATATTTATCAAAATGATTTTTATGATAAAATGCTAAAAAAAGGTTTTAATGCAATATATAAAAAAATAATAAGAGAAATTTTGATAATTATTAATATATGAATTAAATAAAACAAAACAAACAAATAAATTAAAATAAATAAATAAATAAAATAAAAATAATTATTTAAACCAAATAGGGGGTGTATTTTTTATTAACGTAGCAACAACAAGAGGTCCAAGTAGCAAGGGCCTGAGCCCAGAGTCCATTTGAGGCCCAGAGTGCCACGGGTTATGAATATTTGCTAAGGAAGTAGCTTGAGGGGTGCTGATAGTAGTGGGCTTGGCCCATAGCAAATGTTTGATTCGTCTGGCATCGTGTGGTGACGTATAAGAACTTATGATGTGCTAACATTTATGGAAACCAGGAGTTAATCCTGGTCACTTAATTAAAAGTATTGAAAACGTGTGGTTGAGAGCTAAGGTTGACCAGGGAGTTTCGTAAGCATGAGTCTACAGAGGAACGGAGAGATTATATAAACATGTCCTTCACAAATTTACTCATTTTCCTCTCTCTCTCTCTCTCTAAACCTTATCCTCTCACTCAAACAATAATGTAGAGAGAGAGAGAGGCTATAATCTCTCTCTCTCTCTTGAAAACCACTCCGCCTGAAATCACTCCGCCCAGAGCGCCACCAGCCAGAAATCGCTTATGTCGGCGGCAGCTTCTGGGCATCACCACCTTCATTCATACTTTCATCCCAAACCCAGAAAGCTTCAAACCTTCATCCTGGGCGGTCGTTGAGGCCACCAGGTAGATGCAAGGCCGCATGAGCCTTCATCTCCACCTCCGTATAAAACCAAGAAGCATAACAATCTTAGATGAACTAAAAGCTATAACCTTAAAGACCTAGGAACCCTAAGCCTTTATGAATAACCATAACCATTATAAACCCAGGAACCCCATCAACCACGTGAACTCTAACCTAGGTTAGATCCCTAACCCTAGGATTTCCATATATCATCAAATCCAAATCCCAATCATGCAATAACAACTATCAACAACAACAAATAATCACCCTAAGCTAAGTCTTAGGCTTACTTGATCCTTGCCGTGAATTTGGTCGTATGAATTCTTTTCCTCCCCTGAATTTCTCTTTTTCGCCTCTAATCTCTTTCTCTGTCTCTGATTGCATGTACGAAGAGTTTGGAGGAATCACGACAAGGTTGAAGACTTTGAAGGCTTCGCTCATCAATTTCTCCTTCGGCTTCTCTTCTTCAATTTTCTTCTTTAAGATTGATGTCCCTTCTTAGGTTTAAAGCTAGGGTTTATATAGGTTTAGCAATTAGTTGAATTAGGAAATTATTTTAGTGATTAATGTTATATTTCTGGGATTTGTATTAGATTGATTGAAATTGTAAATTAGTGATTAGATTTTGTTAGAAAATAGATTAAGGTTTGTAACTTGTAATGAACCTGAATTGTATTCTATGTAAATTCTTATCAATTAATAAAGATTTGATTGTTCCAATATTTGATTTCATATGATTCGATTCAAAAATATGGGTTCTTGGGCTTTAGAGATGCCTTAGGGAAGAAGAACAAGGACTTGGGCGTAGCTTCTTGTGAATTAGGATAAAACCCTAATTTTTGCGAGATCAAAATTCTAAAACAAATATTATGATAAAATAAATAATAAATAGATAATAAAAATAAATATTTGAAAATAAAAGGTGTTGACCACCCGGGTCAACCTATAAGTAATTATAAAAATCAAAATTTAAATCGAAATTCAATATATATATATATATATATATATATATATATATATATATATATATATATATATATATATA